AGTTTAATAAAGAAATGAGCAAAAAGATTGTAGAGTTCCAATTAAATAATAAAATAATAAATCGTCTATATTGTGAAAATTTTCAGCATTGACCCTTTAAAAGATTAATTGCAAGAAAAATATGATCATATAAGATCATACCATAAATTAGGATGGATGCTACCAAGTTGAAATACTCAAAATAAGATCATGTAAGGCTACACCACCTTTAGGCAATAGAGTGACTTCATCATTAAATTTTTCTTAGGTGTTTACTTTAGAATTTATTAATAGGAGAAAGAAGCAAGTGAAGTTCAAATGCAAATGTCTAAATTTTAATCCCCATTCTTTTATTAAACAACCCAATCGTGCCTCCTATATGTTTGTCGAAAAAATTTTACATTAGCCTATTCAAACAATGCTCTATACATCATTCTAACTCTACCATATAGGACCTTAAGTCCATTAATCCAAAATCATCTTAGCCAAGTACTTAATTGTCCATTCATCCCAATATTAGGGGCAGAACCAGCTTATTTATTTAATGGTGGGCAAAGTAATCTACTAAATAATTTAATATCTAAGAAAATAAAATGAAAATGCATAATTTAGAGCAAAATCATATAACTCATTATGATAAATGAAATGAACAATACTTAAAATCTTATCAATCTATTTGTATTATTTGATAATGTTATATTATAACTCCATATAAGAATCAAATCAATTACTTCTTTTTCAATGTAAGGTAATAGACAATCATTTAGTAAATCATTACACATCATACTATGCAATCGATGTTTGACAATCCTTATTATAAAAAATGTTCTCTCCACTATGGTAGTATTGATTAATAAAGTTAATGTTAAGATAATAAGCTTGTAAACTAGTAGCTGCACACAAGTCTATACCTTTCATTGGTATCATTAACTCCAAATTGAGGGTTGAAGTCCTGTGTCAGCCAAAAGACTATCAATTTCAATTTCAACCTATTTCTTCCTCTTCAAATATCAATCAATTTAATAAATATTAAACACATGAAAAAATAGCAAGAAATTATAACAAAAAATAATTGTCATATCTCAAGCAACCAATGGACCTTAGAATAAATTTTAATAAAATTAAAGATATCTATGTCTCAAAGGTCATATATATAGAATCAAATTACCCCTTGCAACAAAGCAAGAAATGTTCATCTTTATAACTGTCATTAAAATAAATAAATAAAAAATAAACTTATCTTTAATTTTTTGTGAAATAAAATATTATTTAATAAATATTTATTTTATTTCTAATCTCTAAATGAACACATCAACCATCATTTCATGAGCTTGAATTTCCTCATTACCCAATTGGTAGGTTCATTGATTAATAAGATAAACTTTCTTTTTGGAGAAAATGTACTAGTATCGAAGATATTATGGTCACTTCAAAAATTACGTGTTTGTTATCTTTCACCAAACACGAAACTTATACCAATCTTGAGAACGAAATTTGAGCTGGAATGGAAAGTCAATCCCAAACAAGGAGATTTAGATATATTTCACAATTGCATTATTCCTGCTAGATGCCCTTTTTTATTGGTTCTTTGATTTTTTGGGGTTATATTTGTGAAAAAAAAAAAGCTTGTGTTGAAAGGTTCAGAAAAGCTCATGGAGAAATTCAACTTAGAGAGTAGAATGAGATGATTTTTTTAACGCTTCTTAAAGCAGTTTTATAGTAAAAATTAAAATTTTTCTACTAAAAAACTGCTTTAAGAAGCAACAAAAAAACAATTCCAAATAAAATCTTATTCTTAGATATGAGATACTTCGAGAAGCTGTGGATGAAAAAAAAACCATCGGTATATCGAAGAGGTAAAAATCTTTTATCTCAAGAATGTTTTGGTCAATCATTTGTATTGTATACATTGCAAATGGTGGAATCCAAACTCTTGAATAAGCTTGTAGATGATTTTAATCGAATATTCCTTTATTTTAAAAGCATAATATTCCTATTGTCATGAACATTTTGTCAGCACTATGCTTTATGGAAAAGATTTTTTGGTTATGTCAAAAGCAAATGCTACACTAAATTTTTTTAAAAAATGATAAATCTGTTAGGAAGTTAGAAATTTAGAAAAAATCTTGGCTGAAATCTGATTTCAATAATTTTAGAAAACCAACGACAAGAAAATCAAGAATAGAACGTACAAGGATAATTTTTATTGAAAGTTTTATTAAAGAAAAGACAAGATACAAGTGGATCTTCAATTGGAGAGGAAGATCCAGCTCTCCCAAATCTCTAGCCACCGGCTATAATCCAAACACTCTAAGAAAATCTAATTTCAGCAAATAACTCACCCCCTAACCCTTGGAAATACACCCTACTTAAAGCATACAATAAACAACAAATACCCAAATAGTCCTCCCAAATTCCCTCTCAAATCTGTCATATTTCCTTAATTATTTTCCTACCAAATCAGCCCCCAAATCTATAATCTTCAATTAAGAAACATTTAATAATTAATTCTCTCGAAATCAAACCCGAAATTAGCCCCCAAATCTACCCTCTTCACTCGGATAACATTTCCTAATTAATCCCCTCCAAATCATCTCCAAATATGTCCTCTCCAATTAGGAAACATTTCTTAATTAATTCCCTCCAAATCAACCCCCAAAAGCCAATCTAGGAGGCACCCGATCTAACAATATCTCCTCCCAAAAGATCAAACTTGTCTGCAAGGTAGAAAAATAGCTCCCTCAATTTTATCATCATCACAAACGATGAAAAGTTTTAAATGGTGCACAAGAAGAGCCTTCATTTTCAGCCTCCAAAGGCTGAAATCATTGAGACTTGTGAAGTTTTCAACCCCGATCTTATCCATCGACATCTTAATTCTTTATCATCCTTCCTGCTACTAGATTTGGCTCTGATACATTTTCTAGAAAAACTGTATTATTTATATTATTAATTAACCACATAGTAGATAACAAAAAGACTAGCACTCACATGTTCTAACATTATCCATGTCCTTGCACTGTTATCATGAGATCTTCCTCCAAAGAGCTCTTCACCAGCAAGTAAAGAAGCCACACCTTCACTCTTGTCGTGTGAACACCTCGACTCTAGCAGCACTTGAATAGCCCCAGCCTGCTTTCAGCAGCCCTTGAACAGCCCACCTTAGGATGTCCATGGCATCCTTTCTTCAACCAAAGCATTCATGCACTCACCGTCAACTAGGAAAAGAAAACC